CATATAAAATATATCTTCAATGTTTATTAATAAGAGAGTGTAGGCCGGGCGGCGGGTGGCCACGCCTGTCATTCCAGCACTCTGGGGAGGCCGAGGTGGAGGATCGCTCGAGGTCAGGAGTTCGAGACCAGCCTGAGCAAGAGCGAGACCCCCGTCTCTACTATAAATAGAAAGAAATTAGCTGGACAACTAAAAATATGTATAGGAAAAATGAGCCGGCGTGGTGGCGCATGCCTGTAGTCCCAGCTACTCGGGAGGAGGCTGAGGCAGGAGGATCGCTTGAGGCCAGGAGTTGGAGGTTGCTGTGAGCGAGGCTGACGCCACGGCACTCACTCTAGCCCGGGCAACAGAGTGAGACTCTGTCTCAAAAAAAAAAAAGAGAGAGAATGTAAATGGATAACCCTTCACCATGCACATTGAATATCTGCAGTGAAAAGAAAAGTATATAACGGACAAAACATACATGGCCAAAATGACTGTTTTAAGCTTTTAATCACCGGGGCAGGCTAATCAATCACGATGCTAAAGGCACGAGGGACCAGTATGGCCCAGGGAAATGAAGGTGGAGAGATTTGGGGAAGAGAGCTTTAGCCCCGATTCATGCTTGCTTTTTCACAAATCATGGGGAGGAGCACAAAGTTAGTTTCGTGGCTGGATGAGATGATTAAGAACAAAGTAATTGTTTCTCTTATAATATCCAAAAACCTGATAATGCATGAAAAAGAAGAAGCAGGCACCAGAAAACACACAAGTATGGCCATAGCATGATTGCAAGTGCAAGACCTCAGCTAGGAGATTGTTTCTAAATCAACAAGAGAGAGAGAATGGTTTCTTCCGGGTCCCCTACAGTTGAAATAATAGTCAACTCCCATGACACTTTGTTTTTTTTTTTTTTCAGCGTATTATGGGGGTACAAATGTCAAGGTCACATATATTGCCCTTGCCCCCTCTCCCCCCTCGAGTCTGAGCCTCAACGCGTGCCCATCCCCAGACGGTGCACGTCTCACTCGTCGTGTCTGTCTACACCCGTCCCCTCCTCCCCTCCCACCTGCCCGACACCCGACAGGTGTCACTCCCGGTGTGTCCACTTAGGTGTGCTGATCCGTCAACACCAGTTCGCTGGTGAGCGCACGTGGTGCTTGTGTTTTCCATTCTCGGGACACTTCCCTTAGTAGGATGGGCTCCAGCTCCAGCCAGGAAAACACGAGGAGGTGCTGGGTCACACGCTGTTTCTCAGAGCTGAGTAGTGCTCCGTGGTGCGCACAGACCACGTTTTGTTAATCACCTCGTGCATGGACGGGCACCTGGGTTGTTTCCTCATCTTTGCAATTGTGAATCGTGCTGCTATAAACATCCGAGTGCAGGTGTCTTTTTCATAGAGTGACTTTTGTTCTTTTAGGCAGATGCCCAGTAATTCACTACCCCTCAGCAAAAGCTTTCGATTTCTGACGCGTTGAAATCCCAAAGCAGGGTGCAAGATGTTGCAGTTTATTAGACGACTGAACACAATAGCATTCATAGTGATCAAGGCTATTAGCAAGAGAAAAAAAAAAATCTCATCTTGGTAACTTCTAAGTGATGATTGATGGCTGGAATATCTTCAGCATAAACATTAGTGGCCTTGGCCGTGTACATTGCCTCAAATAGCTGAAGCAAGAGTAAAAAAAAAAAAAAAAAAAGACCCATAATCAAACAAACCAACAAAACGGTGGCAGCCCCAACTTGGTAGCCTAGAAAACTACCTCGTAATCGTAAGAGGTTGCTCCACGGGGTAAGTTCTTCCCCTTTTGGGAAACACAACTTGCTTTTAAAATCTTACTTTAGAGATGGGGTCACTTTGATTTGCATTTTTATTATTACTGCAAATAAACTTTTCTTTCATATTCATGTTATGTTGCGTTTCATATATATATATATAGATATAGATATAGATATATAGATATGTATGTATAATTTTTTTTTAAGACAGAGTCTTGCTCTGTTGCCCAGGCTAGAGTGCCGTGGCGTCAGCCTCACTCACAGCAACCTCCAACTCCTGGGCTCAAGAGATCCTCCTGCCTCAGCCTCCTCCCGATTAGCTGGAACTACAGGCATGCGCCACCATGCCCGGCTCATTTTTTCTATATATATTCTTAGTTGGCCAATTAATTTCTTTCTATTTTTAGTAGAGACGTGGGTCTCGCTCTTGCTCAGGCTGGTTTCGAACTCCTGACCTCGAGCGATCCTCCCGCCTCGGCCTCCCAGAGTGCTGGGATGACAGGCGTGAGCCACCGCGCCCGGCCCTAAGTGCTGAATCTTCTTAACCAGCTATATTGTTTGCAGTTGCCGTGGGGTATGTGTGATTATTTTTAGCACTCTTGTTGTCAATCATTAAGGAACGATTTTTAAAAGAAGGTAGAGTCAGGGTTCTCCAATAGATACACAATGAACACATAGCAAAGATTTTTTAACTCGTTCATTAAAGAGGGCCCAAAAAGGTCTTACAACCTGTTCAAAGAGTAAAGACATATAAAGAGAATAAGAAATTCTGAGACTAATTTGCAAATAAATGAAAAGTGGATCTGCAAAAAAAAGCCAATGCAAAAATCAGCTGCACTGCATCGAACACAATTACTTTGCATCCCTACAGACAATTATGTGAATTATTGTCAGATTCCTGCAATTTACAGAGTTAAAACAAATCAAAGATGAGAAAACCCAGATGTAAATCTGGTTTGCCTCCATGTAAATTAGATGTAAATCTAAAGTAATCATCTGTTTGATATTTTTTTTTTTCCCCACTTCAGAGTTTCTCACA